TTATATATACATATATCGTATATATATGTGTATCGTATATCGTATATCTATATACCTGAGCACTGGTTGAGGGTAGTCCAAAAGTTGATCACTTGCTACCCTGATGGCACAATCTATTTTTGATTGTCTTCGAGACTATATGGTTTCTATATAGCCGGCGCTCACTTCCGGTTCTAAAAGGGGCGCAACTATCGTATGCATGTGTGTGGGGAAGGGTGAGGGAAAGGAGGGGAGGCGTGGCATGGCAACAGCTGCATTTACTTTTTAACTTTCTCACAATTCGATTTTCATCTTCGTTTTCATCATCGACCCAATCCGATCCGTTATTCTGATTGGCTTTGCGGTTATCTATAGTCGCAGCAGTGGCAGCAGCAGCGGCAGCAGATCTCAGAACCTCAGCGAACCTCACCAAATTCTAACCCCAGCAATGCAGCGAAGCGCAACAATCGGTTTCGGAGTGGAATTCCCTTGCCTCAAGCATGAAGCGAATCAAGTCATAAACATTTTGCATATTCTTTACCTTCCCCGGTTTTCTGGCGTCGCTTTTTGTTTTCCCTTCTTTAGTGGCAGGTGGCACATCTTTTTCTAGTTCTTTCATTGCTCGCCAAGACCAAATGCCTGTAAAGACTTCATATTGCTTTTATTTTCCAGCTAAATTACGGAACACGTTTTTAAACAGAAATGTGTGACATCTGTAGGAGAAAAAAAAAAAAAAAAAAAAAAAAAAAAAACATTACAGGTTTGCATATGCATCATTGCACTATATGCTGCCTAAGGACTATTTTGCAATAGGCGTACAGTAAAAAGTTTTATTATTATCAATTATCAATGGATCACAAAGTAAAATGGGTTTCCTAATCAGCAAAACGCTACTGAATATATAATATAACCCTGCTTATTCGGCTCGGGGGGGGGGTTTTCCATTAGTTGCATTCACAGTTTTCGAGAACAGTGTGGAAAAGTCTAAAATAAATATTTGAAATATGCAACGTTTACAACTCTTTAAAAAGTTTCGAACTGAGAAATTTCATATTTATGTGCGAAACAATAATAATGAAGTTTTTGTATGCATAGAGGAGTTGATACAGTTGGGGGGGAACCACAGATTAATATCGTCTGCCTTATCATTGCATTGTCTAAAATTAACTGAAGGGGGGGTGAGAGCAAACGAGAAAACGAGAAAACTTTGCTCGTCTTGTGGCAAGGGAGAGCGGGGGGGAGGCAAAGAGAGCGAGAGTGTGTCGAGTCTGGCTATAGCTGTGTGAGAGAGAGTGGTAACATGGGTGTGCATGGGTGTGTGTGCTTCGCTGCTATAAAAAGAAAGCGCGCTCGCTTTCAGCGCTCACTTTTTGGTTGCAGCTACCAAAACGTTGTTGTACAGGCAAACAAAGAATTTAATAAAAATCACAGGAATATTAAATCAGAAACTGTTTCGTACTATTTTTTTAAATATATAGGGGGGGTTTGTATAAGAAGTGTTGCAATATTTTGAATATTCAAAATACACATATATTGCCCAAGTTCAAGTGCATTTGCATTGAAGTGAGAGTACGTAGTGTAAATCCTAAAGGAATTCCAGGGGGGGTAATAACCGAAAGAGCGAACACATAAGCAGCATCAACAATACACACAATTCAAAGGGGGGGCATCTATTTAAAAAATATAAATACAAAACCAAAAAAGCGTGAGTGTTAAATTGCAGCGTTCAAGTTCCAGTTGTGCCGCCATTTTTAATTCGCCATCCTGTTGCTTTTGCCATTTTGAGCTGCCTACTGTCAACTGTGCAGAATTTATCGAAATTGTGCCTCGATAGGCGGCAGTCGAGCAAAAAGTTCACATGACACGCAGCTTGTGCGAAAGGGAAATGGGCATGCGAATGTGGCAGGGGCAAGTGTAATTTACAGTGGGAAATAAGCAAGAAACAAAAGAATACGGCTAATGAGCCGCAACACCAGTGGCAGCGCAGTAGCGGGGCAGCACCGTAGCAGCAACAGCGGCAAGACGACAATTTTCTAGTTTATGTAGCTGGGACCTTGGCACTGCGCATGCGTACCAGCCTATGCCAGAGTCAAGAGTTCAGCCGAGGTGGCATCGCTCTATTTTTTTTTTTTTTTGTTTTTTTTATGTGTTTGTGCTTTTATATCTTTTGCTGCGAGTAATTTAAGTTTTTTTTTCTTTCTTTTGGGGCAGGTCTGTTTTTATTTCCAGCTCTTTTGGCTCTGACTGTGGGTCACAAAAGAAATGTGTAGCAATGCTAGGGCACAACACAATGGGCGCTCAAACGAAACAAATTTTCATTGTTATTATTATTGTTGTTTTTGTAGCTGTCTTCGGGAGTAGCGTTTCTTTTCCGTTTAGTTTTTTGTTGTGGTTTTGTTTCATTTCTTTTTATTTTATTTTTGCAAGAGCTAAAATTTCGCAAACTTTAATTGGCCTTTATTTACATTTACAGTACCCGAAACGTTTGCTTTTGCTTTTTTGTTGCCGGCAAACCTGAGGTTCAACTTTTCAAATTGAGATCGCGACCATCTGTGGTAATACCTGAGTCTTATACGGGGCAGTGTCATCAATTCCAGCGACCGCTTTTCTTAGTAACTTACAAAACTGCAAGAACAACAACAACAAAACGTACCAAATCCCATTAACAAAATGACCGATGTATCGCATGAGTTGGGCGCCCTACGCTTTGTAGTGGTAAGTAACATCCTCTAATACAAATACGCTTTGTAGTGGTAAGTAACATCCTCTAATTAAAAATAATAAATAATTACTAAATTGCAATTGCTACGTACTGCTTACTCTTCCCTCGAATATTAGCTATTGAGAAGCGCCCCTAGTCTGAATTGCAGAGATGAGATCGATAATAGACTCCATTCAGGGTTCACGTCCCACAGATATAGATAATATAATATAGATACTCATATAACAAACAACTAAATTAAAATCTACAGATTTTTCATTTGGCGATTCGAAATCATTTTAACATCCTTCGATGTAATTCCAAACTCATATTGAATGCACAAATCGCGTTTTTTGTCAGACTCTCAAAGAAAAAAAAAAAACACCATTAAAATATTAGAGCTAATTAGCTTAAAATTTGGGCGCTTTATAACAAAAGGCATTTGCGGAATGCGGCGTACAGACTAAAATCCCTATGTATATTTAAAAAAAGAGAAATTTTCTCATTTTTTATTTTTATAATTCCCATGAGCATTATAATTGTATTGTATTATTGTTATATTGCAAACATATCTCGTGCGACAAATACCTCCAAATTATTTATGAGCGAAAATAAAGAAAAATACGAAAAATGTCAGACGCCAGCAGATGTTGGTATAAAATAGCGAAGAAAACGCCGCGATTAAAAATCGTTCAAATGAAATAACATAAATTTCCAAGTTATTTTGCAAAAACAGTCTTCAATTTTCAGTGCCTTTGCTTTAATATGTCGCCAAATGAATTACCAAAAGAGCAGAGATATGTGTGTATGTGATTATATACTCAYTCTATGTATATGTACATGTATATACATATATGTATATACAG